TGAGCACCTGCAAGTGATATTGCTAGGAAATGTTGAAATTATAATAGCATTTGATCAATTCATCACAAAACAGAGTTACTCCGTAATTTAATAAGAAAAAAAAATTACCTCCTGAAAGATCATCATACACTCTGAACATGTCATGATGTGGGACGTTCCTTTTCTTGACAGGAAATGGGTCGTAGCTCGTCATCGTAACATATAGAAGGATCCCCAGTGACCAAATCACAGCTTCCAGGCCGTTGAATTTCCCTTCCTTAAAGCACTCTCGTGGTGCAATGTAAAGCGTGCCTAAATATCATAGATTTAAGTAATATGCCTATCCCAAACTAGTGGCTAAGAATTACGCAAGAAAGCCTTTAAATTAAAGATGTAAACTGTAAAGTTTAAAATGTTACCACGATACGAGTGAACAGGCTCATCGGAATCATCGAAAAATCTGCCCAACCCAGAATCAATAATTTTGGCAACCCCGGTATCTAGATCAAGAAGGATATTCTCCATTTTTATGTCCTGGTGCAGTATATTTTTCTTGATACATTCAATAACTGCTTCGACGACCTGTAAACTTTGCTCTATTCAATGTTGGAAGTCCTGGATTTAAGAGCCTCAACATGTTATGAAAAACGAAGCTAGGTGAAACTGCAACTTCAGCAAAAGATACCTATCTAAATATTGCTTTCGGCATAGTTTCATTCAGACTCCGAAATCTTGTCATGTAATTGAGTAATTCCTCGCAGTGATCCGGCCTTTCCATTACAAATACAGTACCAAAACCGCTTTGTCCGAGACATCCACGTACCATGTAGGACCTTGTAATACTTGCTGAAAACAAGTACGATCAAGAGCAACTACATCGATCTGAAATAGATGCATGTTACAAGTCAGAACCCAGAGTCATGTTTATTTATTAAAATCGCCGTCTCACAAGGGAGACATTGTTTCCTCAAAGCAAGCCGTAAGCGACGAAGATGGTGAAATAGGCAGAAGAATAAAGAGCGATAGGCATAACGAGTACGAGTAGTCAGCAGCTCAAGCAACTAGAAACTGGATACAACCGTTTCTGTTGCTTTATACTACCAGCAATTTCTCATTTTCCTTTAAGAGATGAAGGAAGATCATATAATCAGTGCCAGCGATAAATTAGTCGCTAAGCCTTAATTTACGCTGCGGGCTAAAAAACAAACATCAAAAAGTTTTGATGTTTTTCCCTCTTGACAAGTGCTATCTACAAAAATTTAGGCCCTCAAACCGTATCACTTACAAATTCTCTCTACCGCTGTCGCATGTCGACCTAATTAGTCTAGAACCCCTGCACAGTTTTAATACTGAACGACGTCGGATCTACAATCAGACCCTCAATGTATGC